GAACAATAAGTCCTCATAATTGAAGTACAGATTTTCTGTTTAAATCATGAGGCTCTTTTTGTATAGTTTGCAACAAGATCTGCCAGGCAATTTAAAATACATTTGAAATCATAATCTTAAAGCATCCCAGAGATATGCTAAGCAAAATCAGCTGTTCAAGATTAATGTTCATATAAATTAACTGTGTTTTAAATCAGCCTCATACTTAAGTACCTGACAGAAATAAACATATTTTCAAAAAATGATCCAAGTTATATGTCCTCCATTTGAGAGCCAGAGATTTAGCTCAGTAGTGCTGACCCCTGCCTCACAAACACAAGGACCTGAGATCGATCCATTACTAAATAAATAAATATCCCCATTTATATAAAAATGGCTTTACTCTTCAGTGAACTACCAGCCAAAGATATTATTTTACTTCCTTTCTCTTCTGCCTCAGATAGTTAATTTACAATGTATGTTAAAATTTGTAGTACATATGAATGCTTAGTTTAAAATGAAAGGAATGTACTAGTGACAGTGTATGTGCCATTTTTTGGAAGATAACCTAAAATAAATTAACATTTTTTCTTAGAAGAATAAAACATAATAGTCTGGCCTTGATTTTACCAATTCATAATATTTTCAGGATCCTTGAAAATTGGTGAAAGTAACTGAAGTAATCATGTGGCAAAAACTAAAAGTCATAATTACAATGTATTCTTTACAATAATAGGATTTGAATAAAAAGATAATCAGATACCTGGATAAAATTAAAAAATTCTCTAATGGTCACGTAACCAAAGTAAAACTCCAAAATTCTTTTTCTACATGAATGAAAATTGCCCATGATTCAGAGAACTTATTTGTTTTTTTTTTCAACTTCACCATACAAATAGATCTCTATAGATACCAATGTCAGAAATAGAATTTGATATTATTTAGAATACCATCAGCTAAGTCTCTGGTTCTATAGATTTTCCACTGAATTAGACAGGATGAAGGTCAACAGAAAGGATCTTGATATTAAATAAGGCCGAAATGTTTTTAAGGAGTTCTATTTTTTAAATTCTAGCATCATTAATACAAGTAAGTAAAATTTTGGTTATTTGAACTCTGATGTGAGGTGATTTCTACTATGCCACATACTTCCTTGAGATGACTCTGAAACACAATTATAAATTCCATAAGTATATTAGAATTTCATAATAATGGAGCTTATCATTATGTCATTGGCATGCACTTTGAGCCAAATGATGTTTCTTAAAGCTCAACCACCACCAAAGATGTCTTATAAATAAAACAGTAAGCCTATAAGGTATGGATTCAGTTTATATTCTCATCAGTAGAATGATAGAGTTGTCCCAGTCTTCAGAACATAAAGCAGGAAAATATTAAAGAAAAAGCAAAAAGCACTATACTTCCAAAAGGTCATAGTATTATAAATTTTCCATAGTAGGCAGAATATAGTACCCAGAAAGATATCTAATCCCTGATCCCTGTGAATATGTTACTTTGTGTGGTAAAAGTAACTGTGCAGATATTGTTAAACTGATGGTTTTTAAATATAAAGAGTATTCTGAATTTTCCAAGTGGACCTAATGTAATTACCAAAGTTCCTAAATGATGAAGACGAAATCAGAAGAATCGGAAACAAAAGGATAGAAACTTTAAAAGGACTCAGACATACTTTTTTAGTTTAAAAAGGGTGAGATGAGAACATGAGACAAGGAATTCAGGGAGACTCTAAAATAAAGCTCAACATCCTTTCATAGTTAACAAGAAAAACTCAGAAATTGAATATAAAGTGGACTTCAGCAAAATAAAACCCAAAAGTTCACAATTGCACAGCTAGAAGAATACTTGGCAGTTACAAATTAAAAGATTTTCCTCTACAATTAGGAATAAGACACAAATCTCCACTTGTCACACTTCAATAGAGTACTGGAAATCCTGGCCAGAGCAATTAAGCAAGAAAAAATAACCCAAGATGAAGAAGAGAGGAATAGGTTTGGATTTATAGCTGATATATTTTTACATAGAGAAAGTCTAAAGCAGATCCCCTCATAAACAACTCCTAGAACTAATAAAGAAGCTCAGTAACATTGAAAGATACAAAAATATCACGAAAATATCAGTAACTTTCTATGAACTACCCCCTCAAAAAAATAATAATAATACTATGAAAGAAAAACAAAATAAATTTAAACAAGAATGTATGAAGACTGCAAAAAACTATAAAATATCGATTACAGAAATCAAGATGAATGGAAAGACATACTATGATCCTGAATTGAGAAAAATAATACTGTTAAAATGATAACAAAATAGGGCCAGGGATTTAGCTCAGCAGTTCGGTGGCCTGCCTTGCAAGTGCAAGGACCCAAGTTCAATCCCTGGTACAAAAAAAAAAAAAAAATGATAACACCATCAAACATTACCTATAGATTCGATACAATTCCTATCAAACTTTCAATGATGTTTTTCAATAAGAATCCTAAAATTCATAGGAAAGTACAAAAGATTCTGATCAGCCAAGGTAATCTTAAGGAAAAATAATGGAGCCAGAAATATCACAATATTGATTTCAACATATACTATGAAGTACAGTAATCAAATAATATTGAATTAGCATAAAATATTAAAACTAGTAGAATAGAATATAAAACAGAAATGAATCTTCATTTAGATTCAAATGAATTTCAACAAGGATGTAAAAGACATACAATGAGAAAGCATCTTCTCTTTAATAAATGTTACTTAGAAAATTGGATATAAATATGAAAAAAGAAAGTTTACCTCTATACTGTAGACAAAACTCTAAGTTTTAAAATTTAAGAACTGAAAAATGTAAGACTAGCAGAAGAAAAAAAAATAGGGAAAGTCTCCTTGGTATTTAATCAAAAACATTTTTTTAGATATTTCTCTGAAATGAAGGCAACAAAAGGAAAATAGACAAGTGAGATAAACTCAAACTAAAAACCTCTACACAGCAAAAACAATCAACAAAATAAAGACACTATAGAAAGGGGGAAAGTATTTTAAAACAAAATACTGATGTGGGTTAATATTCAACATATAAGGAACAGAATCAACTTAGTAGTAAAAATAAACAAAAAATGACTAAATTACTTTTACAAAGTAGAACCTGAATAGATATTCCTGAAAAAAAATAGAAAAAACAACAACAAAGAACCTATAGATTGAATAAAAATGATTATCTTCAATTATCAGCTTTAGGCAAATGAAAGTCATAATGGTATATTATGTCATGTCATTACCATAAAAAATAAGTGTCGAGGAAGATTTAGAGAAAAATAAAATTCTTGCATATTTTTAATGGGAATATAAACTAGAGTAGTGGTTACTGAAATAGATGTAGCATAAAATCTATTCCAACCAAATGGACAAATTTCCTAGAAATAATCTGTTAAAATACACACAAGAAGAATTACAGCGTCTGTATAGAACTTTATCTATTAAAGAAATTGAATCATTTTTTAATAACATTCCAAAACAGAAAGCACATGGCCCACGCAGATTCACTGGTAACTCTGCCAAATACCTAGGGAAGAAATGATATCAATTTCCTACAGTCTGAAAATATAGAAGCAAGGGCAGTAATTCCTAACTTATTCAGTGTAGTCAGCATTATTTTAATACAACAAAGAGGTTATAGAAAAAGAGAGCTATAGTTAAATATGTCTCATATGCTTAAGTTCAAGAATTCTCAACTAAATATCACCAAATGAGATCAAGCAATACACAGATGTACAAAATGAATCATATACCACAACCAAGTAGGATTCATCTCAGTTTTGCAATTCAACACTCAACAATAAAATAATATAGTTGAACACATTTAATAAGTTTAAAGAAGAAAAATCATGTTAACATGCCAATAGATTCACTAAAAAACATTTGACAATTTATTACCTATTCCTTTTTCTCATTAAGTAGGAATACAGAAACTCCCTAAACTTAATGAAGAACACAAACCCACCAATGCACATACCAGAGCTCCACAGCAGCCTTGATATTTAATGATGGTAAACTAGAAATTTTCTAACTAAATCCAAGAACAGAGAAAAGACACAATGCTACAATAGCACTAACAGATAATGAAATAAGGCAAGAAAAAAAGTATATATATTAGAAAGGAAGAAATGGAACTATCTTTATTCATAGGTTGCACAGTCTCCTATGTGTAAACTTAAAAAGAATTGCCAAATACTTTGTTCCACTAATCAGCAATTACAGACAGGTTTTAAGATAAAATGTTAACATACAAAAAATCAACTGCTTTCAACAAATCAGTAATATACAAGTGGAATTTGAAAGTTGAAACTTGATCCCCAGATTCAATATAATCTGATTCAATATCCCAGCAAGTTATTTTTTGGATGTAGATGAACTCATTCTAAAATCTATGGGGACAATCGAAGAACAGAATAACACCAATGCAGAAGAACAGAGTCAGAGGATTGACTATATGGCTTCAAGTCTCACTGTCAAGATACTGTAATTAAGGAAGTATGATGAGCAAAAAATAGATAAATAGTTCAAAAAGATGAAATGGGGAGCCAAGAAATACGCTAATAAATATAGTCAACTGGTTTTGACCAAGGAGCAACGGTCATAGAATAGAAATAAAAGACAGTGTTTTCAACAGAAGGTGCTGGAATTCCCAGGTAGTCACATCCAGGAAATAAATAAAAATAACCTATGCCTGACTTTATACTACCAAAAAAAAATCAATTTGCAATGTGTCATAAATCTAAGTGTAAAATGAAAAAGAGTAAAATTCCTAGAAGATAGTGCATGAGAAACCCTAGATGACCTCAGATGTGGGGACACTCTTTAGATGCATCATCCAAAGCAGGAGCCATGAAAGAAGCAATGCTGAGATGGGCATAGTTATAATGCTAAACTTCGGCTGTGTGGAGGACAACGTGGAGAGAGGACGCTACAGAATGGGAGAATGTACTTGCAGAGAACGCGTTTGATAAAGAATGTGTCCAAGCTTTGTGCAGTGGCGGTATCGTAGCCAATGAGGTTTATCCGAAGCCCGATTACTGCTAAGAATGTTTCCAAAATATCTCAATAAGTTTTCAAATTAACATATTAAAGTTCACATATTAAAATAATAATTATTAAAATGAACAATAAGAAAAAAAAAACGTGTGATTTTAGGAAATGATACAAATGTTAACAGATCCGTCACCAAAGGTTTACAGATAACAAACATGAAAAAATGATTTCCATCACAAATCATCAGGGAAGTTCAAGTTAAAATAAAAAAGAACTACTAGTATATAGCTATTACAGCTGCCCAAATCCAGAAAATTTACCTTGTGAGATATCGGCAAAGAAGTACATTAGAGTCCGAAAAGCTCTCTACAGACACCATGCCCCTCCCTGTATTACGCTAAAAGCAAAGAATAGATTTATGAAGACAAAAGGAGATTATTTTCCTTTCTATCAAAGAAAACAAAAGTTAATTCCCGAAGATAATTAATTTAGACCTTCAAAGGCCTAGAGATCACACTAGAGGAGTTCAGTTTAACAAGCTTTACTAACCACCATTTATTTGCGTTCAAGTTGTTGCTTCAAGTTGCTCCTGGAAGTTCTTTTTTATTATTTTGTCACTTGCCTAGAATTTTATTGTTCTCTGATTAGATACATAAACTGATATTCAAGTCATTTCTGAGAATTACTCATTCATGGAGTATCTGTCATTCACACAAGAAATATGTATGTAAATAAACTTTTGTGTGCTTTTCTCTTCTTAACCAATATATTATTATAGAGGTCTGTTTCAACTAAGAAATGATTATGATTGAGAAAAATTATTTTTCCTCTTTAAGAAATATCATCCAATTTCACATTAGCTAATGTACATCTTGATCCAAAGAGGAAGGGAAAGGGGAAGGGGTGGGAAAAGAAAAGAAGAGAAAGGAATAAATACAAGAAAAGGAAAAAATGGAAACAAAGTCTTTGTAGATAGGGAAGGATGGAGGGGTTTAAGGGAGGTCAGAGGGATGAGAAAAAAAATAAGAATCAAAATGTGTCATCTAAATGCACAAATTCCCAGTAATGAATGTCATCATATTGTATACCTAAAATGTACCAATAAGACTAATGAATAAAAAAAAAATTTTCATCCAGTACTTAAAACAACTGAGCTGTAAAGACATGTGGTAAATAAATGCATACTATTAAGTGAAAAAAGCCAACCTGGAAATTCTACAAATGATACCATTTGAGCTCAAGGATAGTTTGCAAAAGGAATGACTACAGAGAGGATGAAACATCATTCTTGCTAGTGGTAGAGGGAGAAAGGAATGATAGAGCACAGAGGATTTTGAGGGAAGTAAAATAATCTGTTAATGTTTATGACATGATGAGGAAGAAAAGTGTCAGACATTTGTCAAAAATGAGGAAGCACAAAACCTCAAAATATACCAACATTAACCGTGAACTTTGGGTGATTATGCTATGACAGTGTGGGTTCACCCACTGTAACAAGCACATCACTCTTGTGGGAAATAGTGGTGATGAGGCAAGTGGTGCATGTGTAGGATCAGGGGCCTCCAGAAACTCTCTGTCCTTCCCTCTTCTTCTTCATGAGCCTTAAATTGCTGTACAATAAGGTTTTTAAAAAGAGTGACGAAGTAAAGAAAATCTTTTGTGGAAAATTAGAAGCTGAAAGAATTAATGAACAGAATACACACTGAATTCTTAAGGAAAGTTTCCAGTTTTTAGTCTCTACATGCCCTTTATTAGTACATAATACAAACAAAATATATTGACTGCTGAGGCCCATTCGTTGAATTGTGAGGAAAGATAGCCTTCCAGGTACGGAGGTAGCTTATTTGAGCTAGAGAAAGTTTTTGTTACTTGTAATGAAAACTGAAGGGAATATACAAAGCAGGATCTGTCTTTGTTTTTAATAAATCTTGATCTAAAATATTACAAAGCATTTTAATTTCGATTATCTAACTGCCAAAAATTACCAAGCACACTTTTATGAAGGAAGTGAACTAACAGTGTGAGCTGGAAATATACTTGCTACTCAAATTCAGTGAAAATTGACTCAATCTAGAAATCCTTTCCCACTTGTTACCTCTCCCTATAGCAATCTAAAGTCCTACATGAATTTCCCATAAATTCTCGAGATGCTTCCATGATCATGAAAGATTTTGTCTGTTTACATGTTGGGAGAAAGAATAATACCTCAGATCACAAATGCTTCTGTTCACAAACAATTTGGTTCAGAAACAGAAGCATTTTATAAAATTTTTGCTACCATTTGAGAACTCTTCATGGGATGTTGAACACAACTGTGGCCATCTTCTGTAGGGTTGTGGGACTGACTTAACTGAGGTACCATTGTATATATATTTTTAATCAGATAAAATCTTCTTAAGAATCTAATTTAACTATATGTCATCCAATGTTACACACTGGTTTTATAAAGAAAAAAGTCTATTGACTAAATTCAACTTTATTCTCATGCTTTCAATTCCAAATATGTTAGTACAAGGATATTAGTCAGTTTTAATGTTATTGAGACAAAATACTGGACACCCATAACTTAAAGTGGAGAGTTTTGTTTTGGTTGTGGTTTCAGTTTGTAATTGGGTGGTTCCAAGGCCAAGATGGTAGGGCAAGAGGATGTGACCAAGAAAAGCTATTTGCCCAGAAGAGGGGAGAGCAAGAGATACACCCTCCAATAGCATGTCTCCACTAACTTACTTCCTCCAATCAACACTCCACTTTGAGATAGTATAATTAACTGAGATACAGGTAACAAATGTTAAATGATGTCATAAGTGTGAGACCCTAATCTTCTTCCCACACACACTCTGGATGCACACAAAAAATTTCATCTGTAGCAACATTGGGAAGGCAGCTATTTACAAACCAGAAAGAGAGCCCTTAAAAAGAAACAAATCAGCCAGACTCTTGATTAGAGGCTAACTTCCAGAACTGTGAAAATAAATTTCTGTTGTTTAAGATACTCATTCTGTGGAATGTTGTTAGTGCAAGCTTTTTTATCCTGATTTGTGCTGCTATAGCAAAATGCCACTGATGGATTAGGTAAAGTAAAAAGAACCACTTTATATAGCACTGGAGGGTGAAAAGTCCAAGATCAAAGTGGCCACAAGTTTGGGGTCTGCAGGGGGCTTGGTCTGCATTTCAAGGATGGCACCTTGTAGGCTTCATCCTCCTGAAGGGAGGAACACTGAGCTTCACATGGCTTAAGGGTGGAAGGGAGAGCAGTGTAGACTCACCTGTTTTAACAAAAACACACAAAAGACAAGGACAAATCCATTCATGGGAATAGAGCCTTAATGGCCAATCACCAGTTAACAGTCCCACTTCTAACATGGGTGCATCAGATATTAAATATCTAAGACATCAAACACATGTTTTTAGGAAAGGAATCCCAAGCATAACACAGGCTGAGCAAGCTAAGTCAGTGTTTATTTCCTAAGTCTTAACACAGTGACTGATAGGCATGTATGTCTCACTCAGTTTCACACTAAGCAAGTAATAACTGCAAGATCATAATTCTTAATAGTCTATGGAAAAGAGAAGCATAATTTTTTAACTAACACTAAAATTCTTAGCATGTTATGAGTTATTACTATAGGTGTATTCAGTTTCCTGTTACCTTGGATGACATTAGTTTTATTCTCTGGGTATTTTTTTTTCTTTTTAATAATCATTCAGTCATGAAAGTTTAATTTAGATCTGTTACCTTAAAATAAGTCTTATATAATAGCTCCTCACATTCAGGATGAAAAAAATGTTTCAGTTTTATATATAGAAGATATTTTAGAAGAAGAGAAATAATTTGAAAACATTATTTTTATACAAAGTGTTAATGATAAAATATATTATTTCATTTGATGTTGCCAGTGCAATAAGTAATTGTTATGCTAAATGCTAGAGAGATACTATACTTATTAATAATAGGGGTTAAGGAAATCAATGAAAATTAGGGGCATAATCTAATTTACCATTACAATTGTTCTAAAAACTGGAGTTTTTATTTCTTTAGTATATCTGATTCTGCATCTGTCTTTAATACCCACAATATTATCTAATTGTATCATTTATTTTCTTTTTATGCAAAAATTTACCTTCATTTTCACTAACATAGTTGAAATTTATAAACTATATGTGAATCGTTTAATCAATAAAATGTTATAGATGACATATAAACATATTCTGCTTCATTTATTTATTGAGAATGAAACAAAATACTTGTATTCAAATGTATATAAATGTGACTGCTAATATTATTAGTATAAATCCTTACTTATTACTTTGCTTTTTTCAGCCAGTTTCCACTTATTAAACTTTCATGAACAATTCACTTTGTACTCCATACAAAATGACCATAAGAAATTAACAAATGACAATAAAGAATAGCAATAAGAATACTATGTATTTCCAGTTTTTAAAAAATCTTCCGTTTTATTCTTGAACACTTATTTTGTCAGGATTTCCACCCTTCAGGCTGTATGATACTGAAAATATCTTGTGTATTATTAAATTTTTCATTGCTGCACATATTTGCTTTAGGAAATATTTTGTAGTTCAATTATTTTTCTTTCTATTCTTTTTTTTTTTTTTCAGTGCTGGGGATCAAACTCAAGACCTTGAACTTGCGAGGCAGGTGTGGTGCCACTGAGGTAAATCCCCAGACCTCTGTAGTTCAATAATTTTCTAATTATTTTCTTTATTTACAAACAAGGTGCAAGTTATATTTACTTCAGGCAGTGTTATCTGATAAAAATACATTATAAGCCATTCTTGTAACCTTATACTTGCTCATTACCACTTTTAGACTGGTAAATGAAATATGTGAAAAATTGAATTATATTGTTACTTAATCCAATGTATATACATTTTTATTTATATATAGGTGGAAAAGAAAAGTTATTAATATTGCATACAGACACTTTTCATTTAATGACCAACCTGTTTAGCAATTGTTCAGACTTTCTGCCAGCAAACATGGTTCAAATTTACAACCTGCCTTTTTTAAAAATTAATTTTATTGGTACATTTTAGATATACAATATAATGACATTAATCATTTGAAATTTGTACCTTTATATAGTCTATCTTGGTTCTTATT